TCCTCCTTCTTCTTCATGAATAGGAGTCCTTCCTCTTCAGGAAGTCACTCAGTTATTTTTCCTGAAGTCAGTTCACATGTGTAGCTGTAAGTCATGAAGAAATGAAGTGGCCCTGAGTTCCAGTTCACTCCTTTCTCTAGGCTATGAATGTTCCCTGTCTGTTGAAAAGAAAGGTAGCTCTCGTGCATTTCAATTGATGGCTTCACTTGTAAGGTCAGATGTATGTTTTTGTGGGTCCCTCTTGTTAAATGTGGAGTTGTGAAGGAAGTAAACATCTGTTCCTTCACCAAAAGAAAAGGATTCACAGCAGAGGTCAGAGTAATAAGTGCTCCTTAAATATTGCATGTTTTAAATGCCAGGTCCTAATGTCATGAGTGCACTTAAGTTTGTATTTAAGTTTACATCAGTTGTAATTTTCCACTTGACTTCCTGCTTATATAAGCCCCAGTTTGAGTTTGCCAAGATCAAATAATGTCAGTAATCATTTTTGCATCAGTTTGTGTAGAAGCGTCTGACCTGGCCAATGTATAAGGTTGCATAAATCCTTAATGGAACCTTATTTTCTTATTTCATGAAACAATATTTTCTTTTTTAGGTGGTGCAGTGATGCTTCTGGTTTATGAATATGCCTATGGATGGCTTCAGGAAAACTGGTGATCAAATATCCAACTTCTAAGACAACAGTCTTTTAAAAGCAGGGACAAGCAACCGTGGTTTTCCAGATGTTATTGGACTCCATTTGTCCTTGCCAGCAGAGACATTAATGAAGGATCATAGATGTAGGCCAGAATTATCTGGAGGGCCACAGTCCTCATGCATCCAATTCAAAGCAATGCTTATTATTAAGCTGTGTTTTACTATAAGAATGAAGCAAATACAAGGCCCATATATAGGTATAAGAGTCTCCTACTGCATACTTATTTCTTATTCCTCAACCATGGAAGTTAATGAAGACTGAAGACACTGCATTTTTTTTTCAAGAATTAATCCTGCTCAGGTACTGGTCAGCACCAATACCTGAACCATTCCAGCAAATAAATGCTTCAAAAATAAAATGTTTTTAAAAACATGAAAGTTCCAACCATCAAGGAAATTATAAATGCTTCATTGAGCAATCATCTCTCTTTGATTGATTGATTGATTAAGTAGTTGATATTAGATGAAACTACCCGGTTTCCCCAAAAATAAGATCTAACCCGAAAATAAGCCCCAGTATGATTTTTTAGGATGCTTGTAATATAAGCCCTTCCCCCAAAATAACCCTCAGTTAAGTGAAACCCCGCCCTCCACAATTGTGCAGCAACCAGAAGACGACATGACTGTATTTGAATAAATGTAGATTGTTGTACATGAAAAAAAAAACATCCCCTGAACATAAGCCCTAATGCGTTTTTGGAGCAAAAATTAATATAAAACCCTGTCTTATTTTTGGGGAAACATATACTTTTACTGTTGGGGACCATTTTGAAGTACTAAAGAAAGTGTAAAATGTATTATCGAAG